GGTATGTATATAAAATTTTTTATTTTAGATCGCTCGGTCCGGGATACGGCAAAAATCATACTTCTTTAAGATGTTATGCCGTGATTATCTGACGATTAATTTAGTTGTGTCGTCTAATAATATACTAATCCACTGCTGAGTCGCGGTTGAGTTGCAGTATTTTTTTTTATATAATTCTATGAAAAAAATGTGTGTATCGCAGCTGAGTTACGGTTGAGACGCGTTAGAATCTTAATGATTTGGGCTGACAATCAATTATGTTTATTAATCACCAAAAGAAGAAATAGAAATGTCAAGTACCACAATATCTCTGGAAGTAGTAGGGTGACACTTCGGGTCTAAATTTTATGTGGTATCACTCTTCTGCAGAATCATTTCTCACGGTCAATTTTTTTTATTAATAATGAATATTACGAATTTATATCTAGACCATTTTCTTATTATACAACATACGATCCCGTGATAAGAAAAAGTGCAAATGGGACTCTGTGAAGCAGGACACTTCATGTCTAAAAAGGCTATAAGAGAAATATGTATAACGTTCTTAATCAGTAGTTTTATGGGTCATAGACCTCAAGCTTTGCCTGTCGAAATTCATATGTTACTAGGACTTGGAATCTTCACCATTCCCAGATCGTCAACTTTTTTCACTTCGTAGTAGCGATCGTCAAATCTAAGAGGGTTTAATTTCACCTAAAAAATGATGAAATGGATTCAGTATTTGGAACTTATAGCCGAACGGATTGCTTTACGTGGCTGGATCTGATATTGTGTTAGGGTAACGCAATTACTAATCATGTAACTTTTTTTTTCTGGCAGGTTTTTTAGATCTATCGAATGAGCGGTATAAAAATAAGCGGTTTGCCTATAAGGTAAGTTAGCAATAATATTGCTCTCATATATATTTTTTGCCGTATTGGCTTCTCTGAAAAATTTTTCATATTCGCAATTTACTTCCAAGGTTCGGTTATCATATATTGTTTATACGAGATTTTTTATTCCTAAAGTTAATTTCTACTTACTATAGGATCTTTATATATTTCTTGCAGAGTCCTCCAAAATGACAATAATTAATCTTAACTGTCTCGTTAGTGGTAGCAGTGAAAATGAAACTTTTACGATTGAGATTTCTAATGACAAAAAGTATGAATTGCTCAAACATATAGTAAAAAAACGCTTAGCATCTTTATTTGATTCCATTCCTTCTACTCAAATCACCCTTTGTTCATCCGCTAATGGTTCGATTTATAAACCAATAGTTAGAATTTCTAAAGACTTCGCTGATAGCCCTGATGAAAATGGCCTTCATATTTATGTAGATCTTCCAAGAAATTAATTTTTTTTTAATTTATATTTTTATTAAATAGTAATTTTTTTTTTATTTGTATTCACACCTATAACAGCGATTATTTTTTTTTATTTGTATATTGTCGTTCTGGCAATAATTTTTATGAAATAAAGAGGGTCCTATAGGCTCGCCATTTTTTATTTTAACACGATTGTGAGCAAAAAATTAGTCAGAATTTATTTCAGTAGAAATATCACTTTGTGCCTAAAATTAATTACGATACTTATCTGCAGAGACCTATCTACAATCATGCTTCCACTGCTATGCTTTTATTCAGAAATTTAAGAGCGTTATTCCAAGGAATAGGTAATATGTAGCATTGAGTCTTTAACTCCTGAATTAATTTTGAATTTTTGGGATAAGCTTCTAGTATATCATCAAGAGAAATTCCTAGCTCTTTTAAATTAGTGCAATGCAAATAATATATCTTTTTACTTTGATTATCAAGCCACCACTTATCTTGCAAACTCATATAATTTTCTCTACATAGTGGACAAAGCGAACCAAGAACCCAATAGGCATCAACTTGATGCTCACCTTCCTTATCTATACTAAAATATAGGTCTAACTTTGGAGAATTAGTGAAATGCATGGTTAATTTGTTAATAACCTCTTTATGTTTCTCTTTCGATAGCATCTTCTTGAATGGGAGGAGCATCGGGGCATTGGATATTTTTGGAATTTGAGGTGAAGGTGGAGTACTTACCCGAATTTCTGGCAAACTCTGTATAGCAATTAATATTTCTTTCTCATAGACATCGAAAGGGCATTTAAGAGAATAGTAGTCATTTTTACCGAGACAGCTTCAATCTCTCCACATTCCTTAATATGGATGCTCATTCTTACATACAAGACATTTAGCTTTAGGGTTAGTAAATTTAAAAACATCTCGATACCATATATTCGAATTATTATATGACAAGAAAGGGAAACGTTTATATACTGTTTCAATAATCATATCTTTCTCTTCTGGAAACTTAAAAATCTTAATAATACAGTCTCATGAAAGATGATTGTCAGCATTTTTGATTTGTGAGGATCTAGAAGTTTCGGTATTTTTCCAAAGATCATGACTAGTTTTTTTATTATATTTTTTGTATAATCTGAAATGAATTTTATCTGACAAAATGCTTGGTAATTCCGTTAATTTAGCTTTCTACTCTAAATATTCAAGAGTTAATATTTTATTGATATTTGTTTGTGAATTCATGTTGCCATATCATATAATTGCACATCTCTTTAAATTGATAATAGCCAAGAAAAATAAATATGCCTCAGAGCCTTTTTTCTCATAAATTCGAAAAAAAGAAAAAAAAAAGTGATTAGCTTCTGTTTAAATGCAAGTACATATAGTGATCATTTACTTTCTGGCTGAGCCGGCCCTTAATTATAGTTAAGGGAAGGCAGGGTTTATGCTGTTACCTCAATTTCAATTCTACGCTATTCACATTTAAGATTATAAGATCCAATTTCATATCTGCCTTCTATGCTATTTTCATCATCATGATCCAAGTTACATAGCGGACATAATGATTTATCAGTGATTCCGTAATAATCATCATTTCCAT